GCACTACTTGCCCGCCAAGTGTCTCCATTTATTCCCTTACTTTTACTTGTTGTCTCCCCTTCCGCTGCTTCGCTTTTCGAGGACGCACTACTTGCCCGCCAAGTGTCTCCTTTTATTCCCTTAGCACTTTTTGAAGATGCACGACGAGTTGCTGTAGTCAAGTCCCCTTTCCCTGTGTCCTCCACCGCCATGTCCCTGTCATTCTCATCAGGGAACAGTGCTGACAACGAGAGTGGTCGTGCAGATTGTGATTCTTTCGCAACAGGGCCTCCAGAAGCTTTCCTCTTTCTTAGAACTCGTCACTACAATCGAATCGGAATCCATCTCTTGTTCTTGTCTCAATCATCTGTGACAGACTGATGATGTGTCCACTTTCCTACTTGAACACAGCGCACAGTCTGAAGATGAAATAATTTGCCTATCATGGTGGGATTATAAAAAAGCTGTAGGTTATAAGGGAAAAACTACCCGGTAGTACCTACAGTCTGAAGATGAAACAAATATACTTAAAAGATGCATTTTCTCAAGAAGCCTTAATACTCTTTGCGGCGGACGTTGTCGTCTGCGCTTGTCAGGGGGCGACACTCCATCCTCAGACCCTTCACTTTCTCCGACTTGACCGGCTAACAACGACGATATTCTTAGCGAAGTCAGATCCTTTGTTACATATGTTGTTGGAAGGGCTACACGCTAGATATGGGGAAGAAGAAGTTGTTGAGGCTGTATTTAGGCCTAGACAGAGATGATAGGTTCCTACCTAGTACTAGCGCAACCAATCAGAAGTAGAGGGCTTCTAGACAGAAGTGTGAACAATGTTAGTCGTGTTCTACTGTTCTTGTATCATAACAAGAATGATCCAGGAGGCAGCTGATCTTCCGGAGATATTAGTTGGCTTTCTGGAGGAATGCAGGTCTTTCTCATCTTCTCGAACTTCGTAGTGGAAGACTGCTTCCGCCCTCTTCTAGTGGTCCTTCGGTTCGACGTACATGCTGAGGAGTCCTTCGAAAAGGCGGGTGCATCTGCATCTCCTCCTGCTTGATCATCATTTTTTTAGAGCTCTCCCCTATTCATCCCGGTGGGAATCCCTCAAGCATATGCGTCAGTATCTCCCTGGTATTGGGGCGCATATGTTTGAGGGATGTCTACAGGGATGGATTAGGGGAAGCCTTAATTTTTCCCCTCGTCCGCATCAACTCCAGATGAAGCTCTTTCTTCACCACCTGCGGTCGTTGTGGCCGCTACCAAATTGAGCTCGCGCTGCAGCGCTTGGTGTAATGCGACTGCGGCTCCAGCTCCATACTCCTTAAGCCTGTTGGAGGACGGCCCACCTTTCTTTAGAGCAAGTATCTATTAGTAGCAGTAGTAGTTGTAGTAGTAGTTTACCCATTTGGATGGTAAGTTAAGCAAGTAGTTAGGGGAAGGGGGACGTTGATGAAACAAAAGCAAAACGGCCTCTCTGTCTTCTAGAAGAATGATTTCTCGTTTCAAGGTGGATCGCGATTATCTTCGACATGACACTAGAAGAGGCTAGGCTAGGTGTGGGCCTACCAGGAAAACTGGCAGACATGAATGGCTTATAAAGTAACTCGAGCAGCCCAGGATGATTTCTCAGATGATCCCCTTGAAGCATGAGTGACTTCATGACTTGTCAAGTTCTTGATCTCTGAAGATGGATCAAAAAGATAGCGTCAGGTCATGATCATACCTCGTGTTCCACTCTAACTAATGGTGTGCTTGAGTCTACCACCAGAAGTCTAGTCCTAGTGAGTCATCAATAAACAAAGCCTTAAGAACTTATGATTGTTCTGTTTAGCGCCAGCACGATGTTTACTACCAGCACCACTGATGTCAAGGCTTCCACGATCATCATGAAAGGCCTTTTTCTTTCCCGGTGAACGTGAAGAGCGCGCAGATGACATTTTTTTGCGGTTCTTGTAGTAGCAGTAGTTCTCGTCTACTGCCCTCTATGTTGTTGTGAGGACGACCGAGGATTTCAGGAAAACTCAAGGCGACTAACACGACAAGGGATACTCTAATCCTAACTCGTTTCTTTCTTATGCTGTAGTATACCTTAATGACGTTAATGAGCAAAAAGCACTACTTTTTGCTGTTCGAAGTACTTCTAGTTGTGGGGACTGCGCAAGTGCTAATGATGATGTACGGATAAGGTTGCTTTATTGCTCGTCTACTAGTGAACCAAAACCAGATGCTATACACCTAACTTGTTAAATACAACTATCTGAGAAGACTGATTCGAAGATCAATATCTTAGACTTTCAGTGTCAGTATTTTCTTTTTCTATCGTGTGAAAATGAATACTTACCATCTAGGAATGAGATCAATCTGAAAGAACGGATCATGGAAGTTCTTCTATCAACAACATGGGACTTCTATTCCTACAGGATAGGATAGGATTTGATCCGCCATCCACAGTTTTGCCTGCATACTCAAGCGCATATGCGCAGCCTCAGCTGAAGGACTTTTTCTATCATGGAAATGAAAGGTGGGTACTATTAATCTTGTTAACGTTATAAGTAGGGTGGAACATACAAACATACAGGACTACTTACAGGGAGAAAGGAGTATGCCTTTATTGGATTGGATTACTATACGAGTATAGTATCCCTAGAAGTAGGAAGTAGAAGGGCGTAGGATATACGAAAGTAAAAAGCATTAATTATGGATGTTCGAGTTCGTTATCACATTCTGGCTATAATAGATCGTGCTGCTCCCTCGTGCTATCATCCACCCACAACATAATAGTACGCGTTAATTTTTGTTTTTGACGTTTATTCTTATATATTAAGGGAGGTCTAGTAGTAGAATATATTATCGAAGATGATACAACAACAACTGTAAGTATATTTGAGAGGGATTACTCTATGATCTACTAAAAGTGTAAGTTTGACTGTAAGATATTAACTAAGCGAAAGTTGACTGGTGTACTATTACTTACTATTAAACGAAGCTATTTAGCGTTTATTACTTCGTCGCAAGTCTCGTATACTAGAAGAAGCTATTTAGCGTTCTCATCAAGCTAGGCCTTCTAGTGGATCTTTTATGTATAACTTCTAGATCAACACTTTCGAACGATCGGATAAAATTTTCAGGCTGTAGATAAGTACTACACTTTTTGATCGTCTATTTACCACTCGTAGTTCTAGTTCCTCGGTCGCAAGTCTGCTTACTAGAAGAAGCTATTTAGCGTTCTCAGTTGCATTAACAATGTGAATCTCAAATCTCCTCTGTGATCAGTCTCACAGTCTGTCATTGCTGACAGCTGACTCTCATCCCTCTACTTCTTGTCCAGCTACTCTTTTTGAATGAGAAGAATGGATCGACATGGATTGTTCTCACTCATCTAGTTTTTCTTGTTCCTTACAGTTACATTTACAACCACAAAAAAATCATCTTGTTGATGCAAAAAATCATCTTCTTGTTGTTCCTTACAACCACAAAAAACAATGTAGGAAAAACAATGTAGGTGTACCACAAAAACAATGTAGTACTAGTAGCTATAGACAGGAACAAGGACGACAGACAGGATCAAGGACAGCGACAGGAGAATTCTAGGTGTGGGTGTCATTTACAGGCATTTTCTTCATGCTTAATATGGGAGATTTTTGATTCAGACAGATGGAAGATTTTCGACTCAGAGCAAGGGACACCGATCAACGAAACCGAGCTTCAAGACGATCGATCAATGTAAGAGGCCGATCATCAGAGATATTATCTCTATCGGTCATCAACGATCATACCTATGATCATCGGAGATAATTATCCCTTCTTTCTTACAGATTACTCTCTGCTCAAGCCCATTTGACTTTCCTCAAGCCAATTCGCCGACGTAACCTGAAAATTCATGGCATGCACAAGCGAAGCGACGAGAATCACAGAACTACCACGATGACGAAAGAACACAGAGTGGAAATATCAGTTCGGCCTAGGCCGAGACCTTCGCTGCGTAAGAATAGTACACCGATAAATATGAGAGAGAGCGCTTTATCGTGGCTGGATGATAATGACAGCGCTTATGACAGCGCTTCGTCATGGCTGGAAGTGTCACTGTCAGTCTAGGTGCAATGTAATCACACTCTGCCATCGCAATGACGCGATGACCGACAAAAATCAACAGAGATCATCAGGGGAGTAAGCAATTACTAACGACAGCCTTGTTCAACATGATAGCTGTACAACTCAACAATATTTATACATAGATACGTCTAAGTAGTATCAATCCTGCAGAAATGATACCATGGTGAAGATCTCACGTTCGTGCTTCAAAACCCACGACCTCGTACACCAGTATAACCACGAGGCGACGTGAAGGATCGACCGTGGTCTCTAGGCGAATTTCGACTCCAGGGCGACAACAGGCCCACATCCAATCGATGACGTAGCGAACGCTCCCGCTCGTTGTCGTAGTTCGGAGTATGAATGTGGAGAGCGAACGAGTAGTGTCTTTGACGACTAGACCAGCGAGAGGAGAACTACGAGAGAAACGAAGTAGAGGGATAACAAGTGTACAAGGTGGCTAGTTATTTCTCTGTGAGCTAGTAGTTCGTAGAATTCGTTTCTAATTCTTCGAATCATAGTTATTCCCGAAGTTATAGACTTAATAAACTGGCTGCTTGTCCTCCTACTTCCGCCTCGTAAGTAGTACTTCTAGTAATAGTTACCTTACGACTGTCATACATAAGTAGAAAGTAGTTACCTTACGACTGTCATACATTTCACTACCACGTACATACTATAATCCTCAGATATCTGTATCTCCGTCAGAAGTCCGTTACCTTACGACTGTCATACATTTCACTTATAACACGACCAGTCTTAACCTTTGTTCCTTGTTGCGTGAAAGTCCACTGCTGTACTTGAACCAAGGGACGAAAATATAGCGCTAGATTTCGGTCTGCCATAGGTCCCCTCACGACCGTACAGGAGCCCTTGGTTAGAGGTTACAATACAACAACACAATTAATCTCGCACTTTTTTTTTTTTGTATCGCAAGCGAGTTCCGTGAAGAACCTGCCTACATATTTTCCGCGTAGCTACCGGCGTGTAGACTGCCCTAAGCATTCTTCAGATCATCCCTGACCGCCCTTATTTTCCTACTGGAAAAAAGTCAAGGATGGCAGTGAAGAATGCAATGTGGTAACACCTTAACTTGGGATAGGTTAACACCCCCATCAGCGCTACTGCTACTCCGCTCTAACATTCGGTCGAAGGCGCTCTGGTTAGAGGAAGAAGAAGATGGGTTTCAGCCCCTAACAAGTTCTAATAACAAAGACACAGAGCTGCCTTAATGTTAATCAGTCCAATATTGCAAGGGCTGACAATGGCATAAGGGAAAACAAGAAGAGAACCCGTGTGATCAAATTCAGGCTACCAAATACCGGAACCATGTTTATGAACGGGGGAAGGGGCGTTATATTTAGGTAGGGTTGGGGAAAAGTATGAGGAGAGACTACGGTGACAACAGGCAATTAGTTCAACAGAAGGCGGGGTCACAGCGAGGCACTGTTGCGCGAAACTCGGTAGGAATGGCCACTTGAGAGCCGCATGGCCCAAACCGACCTTGCTGAGAGCCTGCACGAAAAACGGCGATGCCCTCTTTACCTCACTATGCCATTACCCTTGACGACGGAACGTGAACACTGACAACATGCCGGACCGGAAATCTTTAATGCAAGAGAATTTTCCGTCATCGGAACCGCCTTCACTCTAGATTGAAACCAACGTCAAAACTGTCCTTACAAATCCATAAACAAATCTTGTCCATCATGATCGGCTTCGCTATCGCCATCTGAAATGACACCATCAATACCATCATCATTCTTAAGTTCAAGTCTAGCTGCGCGAAGCATGCCTTCACACTCCAAGGATTTCTCATCAATGTACTTCCTCCAAGCTTGATTTTTATTGTTCCACTTACCAGAAATTAAGATTTGAGAAATACTACCACCTGCAGCAGCTACCGCTGCAGCGCCACCACGTCTTAAACTATGTGTACCCCAATCACCACGTTGGCCACACCTATCTAAGCTACTCTTAAGCATCTTCAAAACAACTGGATAAGACATATTGGGAAAGATTCTACATCCAGGCTTAACTTTCGAAACGAAAGAAAGAAAGAAAGAGTGATAAGGACAGAAATTCTTTGCCCAGGAAAATTCGACACTACTCGCGATCGGGCTCGCACTATTGGCAGCGCCGCAAGTGCAGGCCCTCACTACGCAGTCTCCTTCAAGTTTATTCTTACGACTCCTTAAACGCAAAGTTACTGTTAAATCTTTCGAACACCCCCAAACTGCACTATGTTGCTTCAACTTGGTAATACAATTTTTGTCATCTTTCGTGTAGAGATTCTTTAAGTAAACTGCTTCATCACCAACACGCAAAAGAAAAATCCACGATATAACAACTAGATGCTTGAACTCAAGAGACGTGCGCTTATCTTGCAACAAAAGATTCAAACAACTAGGCGATACCGGCGTCTTACTCCTTGTGGGTGCTTGATGCCTCCTAATACCCTTGGAAATTGCAGAACTATCAATCTCTGGCCAAGAAACGCCGATCATTGCACAAAATTTTCTTAATGCTGAACGAGCAACATTCATCGACGACGCACAACCTTGTATTGCTAAATACCCTTCAATTTTTCCTTTCGTCGGGGGAAACGGCTTCTCACACATTGTAGTATTGTAATCCATGTACTGCTTCAAATGGGACAAGTATGGCTTCCAAGATTCATCTGAAAGAGCTTCACCTTTGATATAACTAGTATTGGCTACGACTGTCCTCTTGGCAATCGCAGGCCCTTGACTCGCAAGAATCCGAATTTTTTGAGAAGGCCCAAGATCTTGGTCGAAAACTAACTGTTTCTGGCCTACAACAAACTTCTTGAATCTATCGAAGAGAACGTCATTCTTTGTACTGGCATTGACAAAAACAGAAGACGAAGTGCTACCCGGTAAATCGCTAACGTCCTTATCACTAGCTAACGACTTGAAAGGCAGTGGCCTGCCCCTCTTGAATCCGGAGGATGAAGACGAGGAACTGCTAGACCCTGCACCAACAAACGGAACGACGGCCGTAGAAAATGAAGAGCTACTGCTGTGATCCTGCTGCACGCTACTGAGAGGAACTAGGCGCCTACTGCTATCAAGTGTCCATACTTCGTTTTTAATACTAGAAACGTCAGCTACTGACGGAACGGCAGGCTTCGTCTTCGCCTGTTGGGCTTGGAATAACTGCCACATAATATTCAATTCTTGTGTGATTCAATAAAAACAAATTTTAACATCAAACATCTCTAAAATTTTGCATGGAAAATTGTGTTTAACTAACAGAAGGTGATTGTACTACAATAAATCATACGACACTTCTAAGAAGATAAATACTACAAGGTTTCCGACAATCAAGTTCACTACTCAATTCGAATATTTCTCGCGAGCCACTACGATCTACCTAGCTGCTACTTCCTGCTTCACTAACCGTGGTCGTGGTATTACTGGTGTTGGTCGTTGTATTCGAACTACTTGCAGCCGAGCCCGAGATTGCACGAGGGATCTCACCAGGGTAATCAACATCAAGATTCCAGTCACTCAACGAACGAGCAAAATTCTTAATATCCAAAGCCTCAGCCTTAGTACTGGGCAACGAATGATCGAAAGTACACATGGGATTTCCACAATTCAGTCCCCGACCTGGTCCTTGGCGAATCCAAGTAAAACACTTCCTACCACCACCCTTCTTTCCTTTTCCTTTCGAGATTCCATCACCATACGGACTGGGTTTCTGGGGCGACCAAGAACTCTGTCGAAGCGCACTGAACTGCGCAGCCTTCCTTTCGAGCTCCTTTGCTCGATCCTCTAATTCCTTACCCCTCAAAATCGTGGCCAACCTGAAACGAACAAATTAGAAAGATCATGCGACAAAGACAAAAGAAGGACGAAATAAAACATGAACAGCTTTGAAGTGGAACTAACATTACCATTTGGCCAACGTTGTCTTGAACGAGGTACCACTGCCAAGCACCAACCAACTGTTTCAATTTATGCCATTCACAAGAGAAACTAGCACCGACAAACCGTGGGGTTTGCTAAAGAATAATACCGCTCAATCTTGACTTCAAGAACTTCTTGAAAGGCTCCGTGAGCAAAGAAATCGGAAACACGTGCGGCGTACTCCGCCCCGCCATCAGCAGCCATGCCACCAATGCGAATCATACGATTCTGGTACACGTCGTTGAGGGCCTCGGCTAACACCTCTTCGTCCGCTTCACGAACAGTCTTCTTAGTGAAAACCTAAACGAGATGGGAAACCAAGCAATAACTCTTTCCTCGATTTGAACAGAAAACAACGAAGGGAACTGAGAAAATCACTTGATTCAAGTTTATCATTAGACGTCACTCCTGATAAGATTCAAAAGGAAAACTATGAAAAGACTTACGTGGGTCAGATTGGTCGAAATCTTGTGAGCACGCTGCAATGTAAGGCCGTCAATGTGAGCCGGCTGGGCTGCAGCAGGAGGGTCTGCATCTGGGTTACCAGCAACCGGAGCATGATACCCGCTCAACAGCGTGATGCCAACTGCATCACGAACAACACGCTCCATAGCCTTCTCGAAAGGCTGCTTAGCAAACTTACGCTCGTGCAAGGACCTGTCAAAGAGTCCTTTCTAAAAGGAGTAGGAATGAGCACACTGGTACTTCTCAAGCTAAGAATCAAAAGGGAAGACAAAAGATGATTGTCTAGAAGAAGCCAAGCCTGACACGCAGCTAAGTACTGAAAAGAAAACAACTCGTGAAAACAAAATAAGTTCTAAAGTTAAGAAATGCCAATACGTTCCCATGTTTAATTTCTCCAAGTTCGAGATATCGCCCTCAGTGACTCCACAAACCAAATCTCCAAAATCGCGGCAAGCGTTGCGCACGAAGCGAACCTTCGCAACATCAGGACGATCGTGCATCTGCTCCTGCGCTATCAGATTGAACGCATTGTGGAGCGCCACCTGTCCCTCTTCAGCCATCTTTTTCTAAACTTCGCTACTAGCAAAAGAACGATCTAGTAAAATTTCTCTATGTTCGACTTCTAACTTAAGCAAGCGATTAATTCGTTCTTTGATAGACTCACTAAGCTTAATCTCTTTCGCGTCAAAACTCAACTTGAAATTCTCATAAAGGAAGCCGATCTTCGTGGGCAAATCTGCTAAATTCACTGCTGATGGAACGCGGAAAATTTGAGGAGAGATTTGAAAAGAGGAACAATGTTGCCAAAATTGAAAGGCTAAACACGCAAGATGACTCTTGCCACTATTCATCCTAATGAGCAAACCTTCTGCGCAACAATTATCAATAAAGCAGTCGACACGTGCGCCAGCCAATAAATCACTCCAAACCCACATCGCAACAACTGCTGCGCACCCTTCTAGAAAATTTATAGGATATAAAGCAGTATCCTCAAAGATCTTCGACTGATCGACTGGGAATTTCCAATAGGCAATAGGCCCCAGAGACCTCTTCTCTTTATTCACTTGCCAGCAGTCAATTAGGCACGCAGCAATGAAGCCCTTCTTCCTTTGCCAGCTAGCATCAGAGTAAATAATGTAACGCGTTGGAAGAAAAACTAGAGACCTGGCTGGCAGGCTCACTACAAGATCGGCGCACGCACTAAGGGAAGCTTTCAAAACTCTGTGAAGAGAATGGTCAGCGGTCGAGGAGAACATTCTGGACAAAATTGGCTTCATCAAAGGATGCAGCATTCGTTCACAAACCGCACAAAAGGCGAAAGAGAGTTTACCATAAATTCTTGATGCATCAGCCGGAGACAGCTTCTCACTCAAAATGACCTTCCTTACTTCACTAGCGTACGCCTGAGCGCGCTCAGGTGAAACAACAACAGACGGCTTGCCACGAAGCTGAAACAAAAGGCCAAGTAGAAGCACAGCAGAATCACTAACTTCAACTTTCTCAAATTTGTATTCCCACCCTAGAATATCAAGAAGCCTGCAGACTCTATCAGCCGCAGGCCGACCAAGTTTTGCTTTGACGAAAGCGTGGTAATCATCTATAAAAACCGAAGACGGAATCCGAAAAACTCTTCTCAAAATTGCGTTAATTAGAAAGGCGACCCTGCACCAGCAGACCACGGAGTGCGTGTTGCCGAAAAGCAAAGTCTTACCTTCAAAAGCGACGTACTTCCTTCTAGAGGGATCAAAAACAACCAGAAAATTTGCATATTCGTGCCCTTTTAGAATACCAAGCGTCTTATAAGCGCCTTTGACATCAATGACAATTCCTTCAATCGAGTCATCTAAAGAAAAGCAATTTTCTAACTCGTCGCTTGACTCCACTAACAACTTGGCGAGAGCTTCAAAAGCATCAGCAGGAACAGAAACGGGCGACTTCCTCTTTCTTGATTGGAAGGAAAAGCAAGACGCAATCTTCTTGTCTAAGCCTGGACACGACTGAAGCCTGGCAGTAACTGTGGCCGCTGCCAACGCCTGCAAAGGCGATGGCAGCGGGACCCTCTTGTCGAGTTTGGCTGAACAATTAAATATGCGCGCATCATCAATCATCCTATAGCGCGTCTTTTGCCAAATGGCGAACCTTGGAACAACATGCTGAACAGAATCAGGAAGCTCATCAAGGTCAAACGGCCCTGCGAGCAATCCCTCATCTCGCTCGGCAAGAGTGGTTGACCAAATTAATTCTTGAACTTCACAATCTAGATTCTTTGGTGGACGAAGGAAAACTTTCGACTTCACGGAACACTTCCTATGAAGATGATCAATGATATCGTCGTCGTTTTTGGGTCGCCTGTTGGCCCAGAAACTGGGACAACGAAGCTTCCCGTCGCAAGTGCCACCGTTTAAAGCCAGCAACCAAGCGGAGTCGTCTTCTGGATAAAACTTCTTGTTAAGTAACTTCAAAAGGACGACGTTCTTCCAGCCAATAACTCTATGTTCGCTAACGTCAATGAATCTTTCATCTAACAACGACGCAGGCGGACAAAAGGACGAAGACAGTAGTTCTTCAATAACCGAATCGCCAGCTTCCAACGACTGGATAGTAGGGCAACCATCTAAAATAATCTCTAAATTCTCGTCATCAATAATTTGATCCACTCTTCTACCGTTTGTGTCTTCTACATCTTGCAAAATCCTATCAACATACCTAGTAGCAAAACCTTCACTACTAGACACGCTCATGGTGTCACCAAAGGAGGAAAAGGAAGAAGGGGAAAGGGATGGGTGGGAAAATCTTTAAAGGACAACAGCTTTCTGTTCTTAACTTGAAAGGGGCGACCACTTTGCGCATAACAATTAATATCCCGAACTGAAATTGCTTAAATGCTATACCGAGCAAACAAACACCTCAAAGAAAATTTAACCGATTCCGAGACAAGTAGAGAAACAAACACCGACAGACTGACAACTAGACATGGCCAATTTGTGATTCGTCCAGTTTGCACTTCATTTCACACACAAAAAGAACTGAACTCGAGATAAATCCGGAACACACTTCAAGCCAGAAAATAGCTCTCTGAGACTAACAATTACTAAAGAAGATTTCTGAAGAAGATTTCTCATCCTCTTGTGAATAAACTAACTAACGCCGCCTAAAAGGCGAGCTCTGAGAGACTCGAAGAAGAGAAGAAACCAGCCCGAGGCACGTCAAAGGAGGGTAGTCAAGCTCAGAAGAACAAGACTAACGAGCCTCTCAGAGACGCGCCTTTTAGGCGGCGCAGGAGCGGGTGGGCGGGAACAAAAGAGCTTTTCAACAAAAGCCACCAAACAACACTCCTGAACGTCCAAACCGGACAACAGCAACAAACTACTTGTGAGCTTCTAAAGGGTCTTTACACTCACGGCCCAAAAGGATGAGAAATCTGATGGCAAGAAATACCACTATCCTTCCGCGTTCATAAACAGAAATTTAAAGCAAGCTTGAAATTTCATAATTCTTCAAATAGATTTCTGATTCTGATACTCGAAGCAAGTCGATAACCTTCTAACTTAAACGAGAACAAGATGAAAATGCTGCCTGATAAACGAGAACAAGAACAGAGACACATCAGAGCTGCCTTAATCACTCCAATATTGCAGGGGCTGACATTGTCACTCTGATGAAGGTCTCGTCTTGGCTCTGACTTGGGGGAACGTAGCATGCGACTCACAGGAATCTCAAATGGTTCACGTCCACCACCTCGAGTTCTACTTCTAGATATGAAGCCTCCAAAATCCATTAATATCATTCTGGTGGTCACTCCTCTTTTCTGATTCTACTTGAGAATAATAAAGTTAAGAATATAATGGATGATGAGAGATTTTGGCTCCATACCAGAGGAAGAGATAATATTAGGTGTATGCGTTGTCTGGGCAAGGCCTCCTGTAGAAGAGAGTAAAGAGTCCTTCACGGCTTGTTGCTCCCTGGGTGATGAGACTCGCACTGGACTTGCACGCACTAGCGGACTTGAGAATTAGAAGAAGTTGATGACCTCGAAATTTCGAACAAGAACTACTTGCAATTTAGACTGACCACTATCAGCACAACTTCTCAACATGATCTACCTGGTATCTATAGTTTACAGGACTACAACTACTTCTAGAGGAGCCAGGCGATCGAGTCAAGTATAACAAAGATCATCTTCCACTTGAAGAAAAAACAAAGAGGAAGCAACCGCATAAGTTGATGCTCCCACCCCCAGAGTTGTAGACGACGACGCAGCAGCACCAGGACCAGACGACGGCAAAGCGACACGAAGAGACGCTTGCACTCTGTCTACAAAGGTATTCATCTTGTCCCTCAGATCGTCGTGCTTCTCGCTCATAGTCTGCTCTAACTGGAAGAAGCGGCTATCGGCCTCAGCCAAGCGGTTACGACGAAAGTCCAATATCTTATTCTGGTGCTGTAAAAGCATGTTTTCATACCTGAATTGATTTTTTGTAACAAACTTGTTGTATCTTGTTTTCATCATGGAGCAGGATGCCCGGTCGTATTAAGAATAAGAGAGCAGTTTTTTTACTAGGTCTAATAGAAGGATTGAAAAGCATATTGTTTTTCCAGTGCAGCGGGTTTTTACACTAGCTACAGAATTATAGCTACTTCCGCAGCATCTCCCACACTGTTTTCGAGAAAGCGTCGTGCCGTGTAGCCATTTTCGCTTCGAGATGGGTCTCGACCTTTTCCGCCATATCAACCACTTCGTTCCTGACTTTGGCCTCAAGCGTCCGACACACATTCCACAATCCCGAAATCTCTGCATCGCGTGAGGCCTTGTTGATTAAGAAACAAAGATTCAGATCTACTTCAGAAGATGATCTTCTACTCCAGATTGTTTAGTAAATTGATCTATGAATCTGAGACCGAATGATCATCATTCGGTCTCAGATTCATCTTCAGATTGTTTAGTAATATTACTACTTAAATAGAAACGAAACCGCGTCGTGTTGTTCCATGATGAAAGAAAATAATGGATTGAAATGAAAGATATAGATACAGCACTTCGTCTTCGTTGTTGTAAAAACTGTAAGCCGTGTCAAAGTCAAAGTTAAAGTAGTGACGAATATAAGTGCCAACATGTCAGAAGTTGTGATGTTAAGCTTAAGCTTATGTTGGTACAATTTCTTTCCGCAAAGTTCGGACTTCTAGCATCAGTTTTTCCTCTACTTCCGTAGCAAGAAGTAGTCCCGGGTCTGGCTGTGCTTTCCACGAGCCTGTTCGTGCGCTCCATACAGGATCAAGAGCTACTGGCTTCAGCGTCATTTCGCCTGTTGTCGGATCTATAACACGCACAACGGAGGAAACCGAGGAAGAAGAAGCAGCTGCCGGTGTCGTCCTCGTTTTTAGAGGAAACAAACTAGTTGTACTAGTCACAATCACGGTTCTGATGATCCTGATATACACGCATAGAGATAGATGGCTCATCGACGTCCCAAAAGTCTGCTGCACTTCGATCTTCGCAACAACAACCTAAACGACTCAAAATTTTATCATCATTTGCCGCGTCACCACACCTCTTAATGTATTATTCGGCACACCAGAGGCTTCCGCAGCAGCTGCTGTAGTAGTCGCACTAGTAGTATTAGCGCCCCCAGCCGGCTTTATGAGCACTACATCGTCTTTTTTAATCTCCTTCTCGAGTTCCGCGATCTTGCGACTTTGCGCATCGAATTTTGATGAGATTAACTGGACAAGATTTCCCAAGCTCCTTTCGGAACTCGTAGGATGAGGATCCGAAGATATACCACTGGATGTTATTCCACCTGCGTTCATTGTTGTAGTTGAAGTACTAGTCGTGGGATTCTTTGCGCCTGGTGCAAGTTTAGTACTGCTTCTATTCTTGTTGACCCCACCTCCTCCACTAGTTTCGTCACTTTTTGGCGCAAGAACATCTTGAAACTCTGCCAGAATCTTGCTCACTTTTGACGATGACACTGCTTCTTCTTCGTTTTCTCCACCTCGTCCATCGTCTTCACCTCTTTCTTGATCGGCACCACCTCCACCCGCAGAAGATGCTACAAGATAATGCCCAACTTCTTGCTGTGTTAGAGGTTCTTGAAGATGATGTTGCAGTAGTAGTAAGTAGGACCTACACCTAGTCGAACAAGAGACGAGAGTGCTAATCATGTTACAGACGAATCAGAATTGTTATCCTATCCTTTTAAGGACTAGGGTACTAGTTCTAATCTTACATATTTATAACGAGTGGAGTCGTGTCTGTGCAAGATAGTGCAGAGTCTGTGCAAGATCAAGATGGACATCGTGTCTTGAGAGGATGTAGTTTATTACCGGTCATTTCACTTTCTTCTATCCCTCTTAACTGTAAAGTCGAAACCGCTTGTGAGACCGATGCGCATGCTGAGAAACATCGATCGAAATTTTCATTGTTTCGCTGCTCTATTAAAGCTTCAAATTCTAAGCTTGCTTTCTCGTCTACAAGCAGGGTTTTTTATCCAGCAAGTGGAATTGGATACTGGCTATCAACACCGGTGCGCATGGTCATGGTCAGCCGATTCAGGTCTAATAAACCTCCCTCGCCAAGTTTCGAACAAAGCTCATTCATCAGATAATCAGTCTAGCTGGTATAATACGATCAGTAACATCAAGATGCTGCCTGTGCCTAGAACAATGCAACAAGATAAACCACGATGAACAACAGCGTAACTCCACTTGCATTTGAGCGTCACGTGAAGCAGCGAGTTCTTCAATGCCCATCTGCAGGCCTCGCATTTGACCTCCTACTTCCCTAACAAAGTCCGCGAAAGTTAAAAAAAAACGCTAGTTTTCACCTATTTGGCTATCAAATCAAGGGGGACTCCACAGACACGGGAAAGTAGTTGTTTGAAGGGCTAAACCTAAGGTAGAGCAGTTTATAGGGGTGCCAGATCCGGGATGGGATGGATCGGATGGAACGGATGGACTTTCCACCATCTCAAGTAGGATCGGAAGAATCAGGGGGGTCCATCCGATCCATCCGATCCATCCAAGTCCATCCTACATCCGTTCTATAAACTACTCTACTAAGGGTAGAGGGAAAACTAACCGGCTGAATACTGAAAAACTAGCCTTAGAAAAGAAGTGACGTGGTCAAAAGACGTGTTGAGGTTGTTCTGGACTGCATTCCCTTTTTTGGAAGCTGGTGTTGATGATGTATTGCTGTCTATTAGAAGTAGACGCAATAATAGAATTTTGCACAAAATTCCTCCAGTGCTGTTTATTTTAAGGCTTAGACAGTACTTCATCTGAAGGAGCATCTTTGACCGCTTTCCTAAGGGGGAAACACGTCAAAGATGCCCTTCAAGATGAATAAAAGGGAGCTCTCATTCTTTCTTCTCAGCTGTTCTTCATTGCCCGGCTTTTTTCAGGAGCTCCACTACCACTTGAAGTGGCCGGACTGAAGGAAAGTGAAGGTGCTAAGATACTCAGATTGTGCTAATATACTCAGTTACAGCTAACAGCTGTAAAATACGTAGATTAACGTAGAGTGGTCTAAGGTAGCCTTCATAATGATTGCACTACAGCACCCCTTTTTACTGGAGGATGCAATACATCCCAGCATTTTTCAGGAGCACTTGAAGTGCCCGGACCATCCCCAGCGTCAAAAATTTCATCTTCGACGTCCTCCGCCTGCAAGTCGTTTTCTTCGCTGTCATCTTGAGTTGCTCCTTCTCGTTCCGCTTCCGCTTCCGCATAGAAGCAATTGCTATTTCTCCCAACAGCTGCATTGCTAGAAGCCGGTCTTGTCTTCATAGACACAAGGTGAGGAGAGGAACGCGTCTCCATTTTCATCGAGGTAGACTGCTGGACTTTTTTCTTAGACGAGGTTGATGAAATATTGCAGTGCTTTTTATTACATCACATTACATCACAGATATATTTCTGTGAGTAAAACTTATGCCATTTTCACTAGCAAGTGAAATCTTACTTGGTACAGCTACTTACATGAATGCGGTAAAAACTACTTGTCCTTATATATGCTTAAATGCAAATATTTCTCACGACCCGAACATAATTCTGGTTGTATCGTCTCTTCCTTCCGACATAAGTGCGGCAAAGTCGATAGGTCCAATATCCAATCCAGTTCGTGGCATACGGTTAGCGTTCCGCTCTCTACCATCAAAATGTTCTGACAGTTGCCAAGAGTAAAGCATTCGATCTTGGAATCTCAGATCAGGAACCCGACTGGGGGTTCGTGTTCGGAGGAGTTAGAAAAAGATACACTCGGTGAATAATTATAAGGGACATGATGAGTTTTGTGTGTTAGTTTTTGTGTGTTCGCGTTAGCTGCAGCTGCAGGAATTAGAAAATAATTCTAATTCATTGTTACAGTACGGACTCAGACATGTGTCTGACAGGCTGCATATTAACGAAGATCATGACCACCTCTCAGTGATACTGTAGTACAATGTCGTGTATAATCTTCACAGAGGGGTGCAGATGATGACATCAGAATGATGATGAACTCCAATATTCCAGACGGCGTTGAACAAGATGACATCATAAGAATTGCTACTTCCCCTCGACGGTTTCCTAGACATCGTTCCGGGAGTACGTGAGCCAGCTTTCCCACGTGGCTCCTTCCCACCTGCGACGAAAGGGCGTCGCTTCTCCAAGGTCGTCGCTTGTTTTTGCCTGCTCTTCAAAACGGCCTGTTGCTGCATCCAGAGATGACCATGGTCGAGTGCTGGGGGGATAGGCCTTGCCCTCTTCGCAGGTGAACAGGAATTGAAACGCGATGAAGCCATTTTACTTGCACTGATATAATTCGTGATGATACCAGGCAGTTGTATGGAGTTGCTTACGAGGTATGAAACAGTGAGTCTCTTCTAGGTTGGGAGGTAATTTTTGTAGCGGTCCTTTACTGTAGTATGTCGTGTGACTGTAGTCACTTACGAGGTAGAAGTTGTAGTCTGCTATATGGCTGAATGATTGAAGTGAATGAATGTGTATGATAAAAAAGAAGCGGGAGGATCATGACGACCTCTTCACCTGGAGATAGAGAGAAAAACTAAAAAGTAACAGGGAGAGGCTACACCTACAAAACAATAAGAATAAACTTCATCCAAGTAGAGACCACTACTTTTCTCACATATACAGTGATTTTAGTCTGAAGATAATTCTTTTCCGTCGGGTCGGAATGGGACCACAAGGCTGGAGTGGTTGTGGAGTCTACGTTTTTGTCCTTTTACAACAGTGCTCTTCCGTCTTGCCCTCGCAGCTTCTTGTAGTACCTGTTCTCAGTCTTTTAATACAGCTTGGTACTTGTTCTGCATCTCTTTCTCTCAACATGAGATACCTTTTGTAACAGCTGCGTACTACTTGGTGTAGTGTCCTCTAAGCCTATACGTATCAATCGTCCTCGTCGATTTACGACAAGTCTTTGTTCGTTGACTGTAGTCCTCACAGAATACAAGTTTTGCTTGCAACAGAGTTCTTGTACAGAATGTTGCCGGACATGTATCTGCTCCACAGATTGTTTCAGAGGATAATGGCAATGATTGTACCTATACTTCTAGCGGTGTTGTTTGTTTTGGCAGTATTTAGCCTTTGGACTTCATCATGTGCTTTCTATATATTAGGAGACGAGGCGAGGTCAGATAATGAATTTACCAACACGAACAAGGAACAAACTAGCATCCATGATACCAAGTTCAACTCCAACACGTCTGGGTGTTTGATGTGGAGCAGGGTTCATTTCGGGAATGGAGAAGGCAGTCAACCAAGGACGCCGGATCCTGCCTGTGCTGGGGTATCTTTATCAGACTATAAGCTCCTCTTGTGCCCAGTCTTTATTCTTGCACCAGAATTCATACTAGACTCACATCCACCTCCACGTTGACCCTATCCCTATGGCCATTGACTTGGAAAAAAGTAGAGGAGAGGGATTGATAGCTTCTGTTGATGGCTCACGACGTAGCTTCTCCTTCTTTGATGGCAGCGGATCTTCCCTATCTTCATTCATCATACTCCATTTTACAAGCTTCTCTTATGGCCCTTGCAATGTCAGGGTTGCGGATCTTCCCTATTTTCATTCATCATAGTCCCCCTCCATTTTACAAGCTTCTCTTATGGCCCTTGCAATGTCAGGGTTTTCCATGGCTGCATACCTCCTCTCCTTATCATTCAACTGCTTCGTCACTGCATCACCTTGCTGATGGGAACCGACGATTAGAAATCATGGAAATTCCCATTACTGGGAACCAGCAAGGAGTATCTATAATTTCTCTAAGGAGAAGATAATGAACCTCCAAGTAGGTGTACTAGGATTAGCAATGGATATTTATAAAACAAGTAGGACGATAACTCTACTGCTGGTTGTAGAGGAATTTATAAGGAAACGACGCTTAGAAATGGAAGGGAACCAAGGACTAGAATTGTCTTCCATTCGTCCCATTGGAATGGGGAACAATTCCTCTCCCTTATGCTGTATGTACTGTATGTATCTGTATGTATGTATGTATGTATGTATGTATAAATGTATAAATGTATGTATGTATGTATAAATGTATAAATGTATGTATGTATGTATAAATGTATGTATGCATGTGCCTAGCAAGACGAGGTAAATGTAGATACTATAAATGTGCTAAATATAATAATGTCTCAAGAACGTCATGAGTTGCATTCCATTTCCATCTACTAAATATTATGTCTCAAGATGAACCTGAGCTGCATAACTCCAAAATTTTGATCTGGAATTTCGGATAGCCGCAGTCTGTAGGTATTTCGACCTTCATCTTGTGCATGATCGCGAGGCCGATCAAAGTTGCCAGACTACACACTGGAGACGTCGGTTTAAACGTTATCTCGACAAAACGAGGGACGCCAGGAGAACTTGAACTACAGGGTATGGGTATGAGATTGGGAGGTAATGAAGTAGATGCTGGTTCTAAAGTAGCAGATGCTGGTTCATCTTGGTCTTTCTGCTGATCATTATTCTGGCCAACTTCTGAGGCACAACCGCATGAAGAAGCTCCTTGTTGATGTAGTAGTTGTGGATGATGTGCTGGTGTAGCCGTAGCGTTACTAGGTATAACTTCTCCGGATTCATCTTTTTTCTCGTCGTTTTTTAGACAAGTGATAGTCAATTTGCTCGAGGTGATCAATAGTCACATAAGTAGTGAACATATGTTTCAGTCCCCTCTAGAAGTGGTCATAGAAGTCACATAAGTAGTGAACATATGTTTCAGTCTAGAAGTGGTCTGTGAAAACAGCACCGGCTACTTCTACTAGTTATCCACGTCGACTTCGTGATGATCTCGCAGCACTAGTCATGATTTATAATAAGATGGACCTAGGACTTTCTAAGATCAGTATTTCGAAGGAGTAAGAATGTAAAGAGGACTTCAGTCAAGTCTCTAAGTCAGCAGGCGGCGGCGGTATCGTCATTATTTATATATAATTATAGATAACCCTACTGCAACTTCTCCCCGTAAAAATCCACACACGATCACGAGCAGTCAAAAATAAATGTGGGACAGTCAAAAAGGTAGTTATCTTCATGCTTCAAAAAGGTGGTTTTTATCAAGGGAAAACTCAAGTTTCAATTCGTTCTTAACGTCCAGGGTCCTTCTCCACCAGCACTTGCTAGCAGCCTGTTCATCGATCTGGCAGTCTCCTCGAATGTATCCCCACTCGTGCTACTTTTAGGTGATAAAATGCTTTTCGGAGATGTGAAGGTACTGCTGGTGCTTCCGGTGCTACCACCTACCGTAGTTGTTCCAGGGGCCGGGACCACATGAGCTGCATCTTCTGGTACTTCTGCAGGAGAATTTTCATCTCCTGCTTTTGATGTAGCAGTGGCAATATCATCGGTACTATTGCAAGATCCTCCTCCGCAACATGCAGACGCAGCAGAAGCAGCTATTGTCTTCTTCACAGTCAGTCTGCGTGTCTTATCCTCACAAATTACGACAATGCCAAAATTAGAGGCATAGAAGAAAAAGTAGAGCCTAGTAGTATATGAATACCTAGTACGATGTTGACATCGTCAAATCTTCGTCTAATCTTCTAATCTTTTTACTTATAGTCTAAGTAATATCACGAAAAAAGCCGTTATACACAGTAGTATGATCTACATCTATGATGACAAAGTCTACCTCTACGTACTCTAGACAAGAAGTATCGCGAGAAAAAGCCTTATCATAATACATATCGTTTTTTTTTTGAATTTCTTAACTTCGGGATACACCACTTCTAATTCCTCCAAGGTGTAAGGCTTCTCTGGATCCGTGATTGCACGTAGAGATAAATAAATTTCTTCCGCTAAGGGATGACCCCAGTCGTAATCACCCGATGAGAATTCACCGTCTGGCGCTAGAGGATCGTCGTTTCCGCAAGAACTAGTCATTTTTCTTCTTTTTAACTACTTGATGGTGGTCCTCTAGCTCTACAAGTAGTACTACTATAGAAGTTAGGTTAGGTTAGGTTGGGGCCTACTATAGAATGAGGAAGTAAGAGATAAATATGAAGTATTCACTCATTCACTCATTTACCTAGCACGAGGTACTGTCTCAAGACTTAATAATTAGGACTTAAGTATAAGGATATCTATGAAGATGTTGATGCTCTACTTGATTCATATGAAGAACTCAGTCTAATATATGATTAAGTTGGTGAATGTTAGATCTATTAATCTGCTATGAATCGAACAATGAATCTAATTAAATCTATAGTGGTTTGGCAAAAAAGTGGCTACATGCCATAATTTTCTTTATGTCTACATGCTCCTACTTACATGGAGCAGGGGGGAACTAGTTACAAGGACAGGACTTGAAGTAGAACAGGTTTTTCACTGCACAGAGCTGTGAGAGAGAGGAAAATTATGGTGCAGGTCGTGCAGGGACAAATTCGACGTAATCTTGCTGAGAGGTTGCTCATTGAGTACTCAATTGGATTTGGATCATGTACATGGAAATTGATTACTTAAATATGAGAGCAAACCGCTCACTATGTTTGACCGTCGATCTCACCTTCTTCAACATGAATCCTCGCTGCTCGTAGTCATTTACATTCTTCCATGCGCGCCGTAGTTCATTGAAGATCACACGAAAGTTGACCTCCATGATCATGCGAGAGACCATGATTATGCCTTCCAATATTTTTGGGAACACTCACCGATGGATCAAGAACAAAAAAAAAAACCTGAAGTAGGTAAACCTTCTTGATGGAAGTGAATAATTTGCGTTGTTCACTGAAGGAACTGCAGAAGCATTAATTCTAAACGTTATTGTTCGATGATGGATTTATTAGTTCGTTACTCACTTTCGTGAGGAGCTGAAACAGGGACAACTCCACTCATTCTTCATCGTCATCGCAGTAGTTTTTGTGGCTTAGCGCCAGCACCAGTGCTCAGATGAAGAAGACTGCCGCAACTGTAATTGTTGTCCGTCATTACAGCAGCCATCTCCCCACTTCCCTTCAACGTCAACCGTTTTTTCAAATCTTGCATAACAGGACTAACGATAATCTCAAGAGCCGCGTAACCATTTCTACGTACTATTCGCGGCAGGACGACTCAACCCAAGGAAGGAGCTACGATTTATCTCAATATTTCCAATTTTTTTTGTTGTAACCCCTTGCAAGCGCGTTCGCCTTTCAACTGCCGGAAAGAAAATAGGTCGAAAGTCGCCAGCATACAAGCCTGCTTGTTTTGAAAATCTTTATATAAGTACTTACTTAATTATTGAAGTCGATCATTAATATTCATCTTTACTGTTTCTCAAAAAAAATCTACACCATCAAATGCCATTATCAAGACCATTTCTTCAAGCGTCAACATTAGTTTCTCAAGCGAGATCGATTTTTTCACTTCAGTAGCATCTTCTTTCTTCCCTATAAATTCTTAAACAGTTCTCTGTAGATGAACAGCGCTAAGGGGTGGCGGGTTTGTAATGGGATGGATCAGATGGTGGAACGGATCATGGGCCTGCAAGGCTCGCTAAGCATTCTATGTAGGACGCAAAGAATTAGTCGGATCCATCCGATCTACCCAAGTCCACCGCCCTGCATCCGTCCTATATATAACCTATTCTACTCTAGCATCGTGGCTATATTTCAATTTCTTTATTTTCTTTCGTTTCTCATTCATTCTGAACGTGATCTTCTGGCAAGATGACAAGCAGCAGTTTTCTCTTCGTGGCCGGTGTTGGTGCTCCTGCACAAATATTGGCGCCACGAAGGCAAAAACTAACATCATCTTCTATAATTCAGGTCAGGTCATGGATCCTTCACATCGAGCTCCATACGCTTCTTAAGCTAATACCCAATGCCTCCAGGTGATCACACATCTTCTATGCATGCTCAGAAATGCACTGAGGTGAAACAAGCAAGAAGTCCTCTATATACTTATAAGTATATAAGGAAGATTCTTGGAAAGAGGAGACCCAGCGCTCCTTAGTGGCTCACCAGTTATGTCCTTGTCCTCCCGACGTAAATTCGATAAAAAAAGCCACGACACACGACACCCCCCCGACGCCATTAGCCGTCTCAAAAATGAAATCTACAAGAATCGAAGGAGGCGGCACGAGCGTTGCCCCTGCTCCTGTACTTCTAGGTCGCCTACTGCACTACCTCCCCATCAGCAGGCACTTGCTGGTCTATCGATTTCGATGCCAACGTCTCCATCTGAGCACTCTCCCCACCAGCCGGCACTTGCTGCTTGATGTTCCCCGCTCTATAAAGACCCCGCATCTTTGTCGCATCGAGCTTCACATATAAACGAAGCGTAATGAAAAGGACCCCCTGCCGGGTCTGCCTAACAACTATTCGAGGCCGCTAACTACGCCCAAACATTAGGCAACAAAGCCCTAAATTTAAGCAGAAAAATCCAAAACTTACACACCAAAATCTAAGATCTAGGCAGAAAAGCCGGAACGAACCTCGAGCAGAAAAGCCCAAAACCCAGGCACCAGACAGACGAGCCCTCGAACCCAGGCGCCTACGATTAGACCAGAAACCAGAATGCCCAGAAAAACCGAAGGAGCCAGCTGCGAAAAACGAGACACAACACCAAGGGCAGCAGCGACACGAATCAAAACCAAACGCCCGCGGACGGTAAAGCAGCGGCCCTGAATGGTTCTGGCATTTGGTTGCCTGATTTTGATCTTCACAAGGAAAACAAGAAGAAAATCCCTGTGATCATATTCAGGCTACCAAATACCAGAACCACACAAACCCCCAGACCACACGAGCAGGAGCGCCGCCAGCATATAAAACACGCACGCGAACACCCACGCAACACACGGTGCGTGGGGAAGAGATCACAACGACACCCAACAACAAAACAAACCGACAACGCGAGCCAATCGGAAATCCCGAAACCCCTCACCACGATAAGCAGAGAACCCCCCCCTGCAACGCCGGCAGCACCACCAAGCGCCGAGGCCAACGAAGCAAGCCACAGCCCGCGCAAGCTTGCTCGAACCGAAAGAAGACAAGAGCCCGAAGATGACAACACAACAGCCCGACCAATTGACTCAGCCCAGACACATCCCAGGCAATTTGGTTCAAATTTTCGGGCCTTGAGAAAATCCCGACCGACAGACACCACAACACACCCGCGCCAGCTGATCTGGCTGCCGGGGGGCAACAACCGATCCGACACAAAAGACCCACGAAAGACCTCACCGAGCGAACCACGCCACCGCAATGCAAATGCAATAGCAGGCGCCCACGAATCTAACGCATGCACCTGGGCCGGCCTCCAGCAAGCGGCCCCACACACTTCGAGGCAGACACCCCAAGAAAAGGCCCGACACAAAAAGCCGACACCACACTAGCCCGCGAGGCTTACCGGCGCAGACGTTCAGGCCACACTTCCAGGAGCCGGCGAACTGTGACCCCAGCGCCAGCTCCAGAATCACGCGACCCGGCCCACGCAACCTGACTGGCGTGGACGTTACAGCCCCACCCCGCGCCAGCGCTGCTCGATGCGGAGCCTCCACGTCCACACGCGCACCACCCAGCCAACCCCGCGGAGCTTGCACGAGTACTACCACGCCACGCTCCGAGGCCTGCCAGCGAAATGCGGCGGGTGCGTCAGATGCGACCCGCCCTGCGCCACGGTTACGCGGCCCGAGGACAAGCTTCCCAAGACCCCGCGGGAACCGGTTAAGAAGCCGGCCAAAGTGGACGGCTAAGACACCGGCTAAAGCTGAGGGTAAAAAAAGGGCGAAAGAGTCAACAACTTTGGGAACAGTTAAAAAAGCCGGCGGCACGTCCTTCCAAAACTTGGCAGAGGTGCTCTAAACCGACCCCAGAAGCAAAAGCGAGCGACTTCCAGGCGAAACCGCACGAGAGAAAGGCCGAAAATTATAGCCGTTTTTTCGCCGTTTTTTTCTAACCCAGAAAAGGTTGGAAAAGCTTTAGCCGTTTTGTAGTCGTCGACTTGGAAAAGCCACCGGCCACCCGGACCCCTCCCCCCAAGCCCAGACACGACCCCCCCCCAAGTCCCCTGGCCCTTCGAGTGCGAAGCCCGGCACTCCCGCGCGAGCTGTTGCGCCAATCGTCAAGCCCCGTGGCCGTGGCTCAGTGTGGGCACCCAACAGCAGAGGCCCCTCCAAATGCCCCCGGCCGCCCCTCCTCCACCGGGGGCAAGGCAAGACGACCAAGCAACAGAAGACAAACACAAACAAGCCCAACCCACTGAAAAGCAGCACGAGAACACCCAAGAGACCAGAAGCACCATACCCGAAGACCGATGGCACATCGTCACCCTGACTAACTTCAACAATGCACCCCGTCCAGCCACGACCCCTAAGACATGCACCCCCAAGCCGAGCCACTTAGCCAAAGCATACAAAACCGGATGGAACCGATCGAAAAAAACGACCGAAAAAACCTGGCGGCTTTTTCAGTCTTCCCTGATCCGCTGCCGCAGACTTCAAGACCCGCGGCCCCTCTGTAGAGTACCAGAAAGAAGCCACACTCAGAAGCATTTCCCTGATCGCTCGCAAATATACCAACAAAACAACAGAAGAAAAGCAGAAAAAACCCAGAAACGAAACAGACACACAACGGCACAAGGCAGGCGCCCCGCGATCCCAAAAGTCCGACTTTTTTAGCTAGATTGTAACCCAAATGCTGGCCAGGCGCGCGCCCGCCTGAGACCTATGCCAGAGGACAAGCAACGCTACTTCCGCACACGCGGCGCGCGGAACCCAGTGGTGACGCAGAACCAACACAAACGGAACAGCACTACACGGCAGCCGCCAAGCCTCCACAAAATTCCAGCTGCAGCAGCTTATTTTGGTGCCAAAAAATTCCCAAAAAAAACTTTGGAAAACGAAAAAGCCCAGACACTATAGACCCCCCCCAAGCCGTTCCCGCAACGCCACCAAAATCAGCCCCCTCGCCTTTTTTCTGGGCTTTTTCAACGTTTTTTTTTGAAGGTTGACACTAAAGACAAAAGAGACAGAACACCGCCGAGAAGAGAAAACGGCTGACCTACTAGGAGCAAGACCCCCGCCCAGGCGAAGACAAAACTGAACCAGAGAGAAAACAGAGACAAAAAAAGGGGCAAAAACCCTCTCCACGCCCAAAGCTGACTACTGCCAAGCACGAAAATGCAGAGAAATTAGGCAACGGGGACACACAAAACCGCAACAAGCCGCCCGAGACCCCCAGCGGAGGAAAGTTAGAGAGGCCAAACACCTACGCAAAATCGTGGCTCGATTATTTCTAAGCCGTGGAAGCTGTGGCGAGTTGCATCCGAGTTGTGGGAGCTGTGGTAGCTACTGCAACCAGCCTCAAACATACTGCGAACATTTTCAAACTTACTGCGACGGGCTTCAGACTGACGGCGACTAGTCTCAAAAAGTCCGCGACTAGTCTCGCAAGTGCTGCGACTAGTCTCAAAACAGCTGCGACTAGTCTCAAAATTAATGCGACTGGCCTCAAGCTTACTGCGACTAGGCTCAGACCTACTGAGACTAGGTAGCCCGAGGCCCGCTGGGACTAGTCTGAGACCCAACGTGACCAGCCTCGGATTTACTGCGGCTAGCCTCGCTCACTGTGACTAGTCTCTAACCTGCTGCGCCTATTCTGATGGCGCTAGGATTCGAACAGCCCGACAAACTCAGCCAGAGACTAGGAGCAGCAAGCGCGAAACTAGTCACGGTGAGCGAGGCTAGTCACAGTAAGTCTGAGACTGGTCACATTGGGACCCAGACTAGTCACTAGTCTCAGTAGGTTTGAGTCTAGTCGCAAGGCAGTGAGTCCAAGGCCAGCCACAGACAGAGCGAGGCTAGCCGCGGCAAGTCCGAAGCTCGTCGCAGTAAGTTTGAAGCTGGTCACCGTCACAGTAAGACCGAGGCAAGCCACAGCAGTTTTGCGGCACGTCACACTAATCCCGCGACTAGTCACAGCAATTTCGCGACTAGTCACAGTAGAAACGAGGCTCGCCAGAATAAGTCTGAGACTATTCACAGCAGAGGCCACAACTTCCGCGGCTTTCCAATTTACTTTAGGGGGCAACCGGGTGACAAAGTCCGAGGCGATTTCATGATAGGCGGGCGGCGGGCCTCCATAAGAAAGAAGCACAAGCGGCACAACTAAGCACACCCACCGCGAAACAGCCACGCCACGAACCCACCTACACCACGGGACCCCAACGCCCCCCGGCGCAACAGAAAACGCAGCAGAGAGAGCAGCCCCCCAACACAAAAACGCGCCCCGCTATATATGTACGGTTCAGACGAACGGAGACCACACCTAGCCAACAAGCCTCGACGGCTAACACCATGAAGCTACCCCCGGAAGGAGAGACAGCTCCACAAACAAAACAAGAAAGCCGAACCAAATCGCGAAGGAAATGGAAAGCGACCACGACAAGAAAAAAATAGGAGACGCGACTTTCCCCTCAAGTTTCGACAAGTTTCGGAGCCGTTTTGCCCAGCTTCAAGAGTGAGAGTCCGAAGCCCAAGCGGAGAACAGCTCGGCCTTAGCCCACTGCCGCGCCCCGAAGCCACCGACTGGCACCGGGGTGCAGCAGTGTGCCGGTGGGAAGTGGCCCGGTGAACTTTCATGGGCGACACCGCCACACCCGGCATCCGGACCGGCTTCGCCGCTGTGGCACGCCGCTTCCGCTGAGGGCGCCTAAAGAAATGCAAAGTCTCACAAAGTCTGGAACTTAGGAAGCCGGGGCGCCGGGGTCAGTTTAGGCAGACCGCGAAGGGATCCTTTTGGTACGGTCTTCGTCCATAGCCCGCCGGAAAAGCAAGCTGCTTCGTGAGCATTCAAACCGAGCTCAATTCTGTGCAGGCGTCCCAGTCCCAGTCCCAGTCCCCCCTTCTTTGCGTCTTGCTCTCGTTCATACTCAAGGTTCATGAAGAAACCCATCTCACCGGTTAATTCGCCATCGCTAACGGGGCTGAAAGCGCAAGTCACTCTAGTCTCGTCCGGAAAACGACCGTCCGGATCAGCAATTGTATAACGGTGGAAGGATTCCAACACAAACGCGCGACTTATGCGGAGTTTAGCAGCAACAGGTTCTTCTTGCGAAATCTGCAAATTGCGGTTCGTGATGACATTTGCCGGTCTCAGCGAAGCCTGTATCCCAACAGCCACGGCCACCGGCAACGGGTCTAGGCCCGTCATCGCTATTCCTGAAATTTGAACAGTGTGGTTGTACAAATGGAAACAACAACAAGACAAAACTAATATAAATCGACACTAGAACAGTAGGCATATGCCCGCCCATATCTGAAAACCAAACAGCAGAATTGAAGAGTCTGGGTGACGAGGTGAAAGGGGTGCCAGTTTTTTTGTATCTCTACCAGGTCGTTGGTGCTGCAACTCCTGGTCACTGGCACTCGCCATCCTCGTAGCCATCACTTCAACCGCCTTGAAGAATTTCTTCTCAAGTGGTGACGCATTTTCACGCTTGATTAGCGCGCCGTTCCTCCTCGCGTCCTCAAACATGCCAAAGTCAACAAAAAGAAGTTCATACAGTGCGGCGTCCATGAGCGGTTGCGCCCCGTCCACAGTCGAGATCGACTTCATGTTTCCATTTTCGCTGTGAGTTTTCCACACGTTCATCGATACAGCAGTAGCGATGTGAGGGCCCCCCTGGCCCCCCTCCCAGAGAGGTGCGGAGGCAACAAGTGCCATCCAGGCGAGTGCCCGACATTCCGTCAGAAATAAACGACCCATTTTCAAAGGAGAGCTTCTGCTGCCAAAAAGTTGGAAGCTAGAAAGGAACGAGCACACAGGTAAGCTGTTGGCTCCTAAACTCTGCAAGAAGATGTCCTTGTCGTGCCCCCTCGTCTACACCACGATGTAAAAAGGAAAAGCTCAAGAACTACAAGTAGCAACGATCTTTACAAATATTTTTCTACTTATAACATAGAATGCTTCGTCTTTACGATAATTTTGCTCTACAGCAGTTCGCTGTAAGGAAATATTTGGGAAATTTCGAACTAGTCAAGAAACGAATGAGAATGGGTTTTATCGAAAGTGTTTCCACCATCCGAAGTCGAAAAATCGTTGGTCGACGCTGGAGAAGATTTTATTCGTAGAAGCAAATCCTTCTTTGTTCGATGACTAAGCACTCTTTTTCATAATATGGGTGGAGCCAAACTAACTAGGAATAAAAAAGGAAGGATAGTGGGTAAAGGATAGAGAAGTGCAGATATTGTAATAATGGCCATGCTAAGGAAAAGGAGAATCCATCTATTCTAGGCAAGAGCCGAGGCCTAAAGTTCGGGCTTTAATGAGTGCCACAGAGGGTCCCAGGGTCTAGAGAAAATGAAAGCCGGGAGCAGCAGAGTGTGTGGGGCAGCCGCCAAGTTGGAGACAGGCCTTTCACGCTTGCGGAAAGAGAGCAAGCGCCAAGGCTTTGGACCGCTCCCAAGGTTTTGGCCATCAGGTTGCGGGTAGACCAAACAGCGGAAAAGGCCCAAGGCTTCGGCCTCGGGGTTTGCCTTCTTATTTTTCACCCCAAGGCTTCAAAACTCAAAGCTTTGAGGTTTTTGCGCTCTCATTTTTAGCGTGCCAGGGTAGACCTCACCAGGCGTTCTCAAGGCTTGCCCCTCTGAAGGTTTGCCGCTCTCAGGGTTTGCCCCTCTCAACCAAGGTTTGCCCATCTCAAGGCTTGGAACACGAACAGCCAGAACGAACCCGCCGAGGGAGGGCGAGAAGATGCAAGGCGGGCGGCGTGACTCCCCTGAGCAGGTCCCAAAGCCGGGGAATTTGAAACCCCCCAGAGTAGAAGCGCTGCCGGCGTCCTTGCCCACGGGCGGGCTGGCGTGTTTTCCTCCTTTGGGCCTTTCGCGACGCTAACGGGATAAAACGCGCACCGCGTGCGCGTTTTGTCCTTGTAATGGCTTCCAAAATGCAGGAAAAACTGAACGGCGCGGCAATTCGCCGCCGCGCCCTGCTCGCGAGAAGCGTCCCGCGGCGGCCACTTTGCGGCGGCTGTAGCACTTTGTCCTCCACCGCCCGCACCTCTCTGCTCTTCTTCCATTCTTCCAGCCCCTAGCCGTGCTGCCCTCTTTTCTCTGTCGTCTTCGCCTTTCCTCTTAGCAACTAAACACTCGGGTCACGACTAGTATAATCCATTTTTGCATAAAAAAGGGAGTAACTCAAACTCTAAAGCGGGAACACTAACCAGCTAGGGCTAAATGTCTTTACAAATGTATCAAAATGAAGGCCCATCCCTCGGTTATAGAAATAACGGATCGATCGTAAATTCTCTCGGTCGACAGAATAGAAGTGTTCACTCCAACATCACTACCAGATCTTTTTGTCTTCAGCAGAAAACAGTGATGACCACTACCAGATCTTTTTTTCATAGGACTATATGCTTCGTCCAACCGGTTCTCTCTTAGTCAGACAGAAGTGGAGTCTTTCTCCCTCGCTCTAGGGTCCTCAGATGAGTAATCTTGTTTTTGTTCTCTCTCTCTCTCTTTGCTTTGGTCAGAGTCATGGCTTAAGTAGTAGACCGACCAGGAAGTGCGAACTGCTCTGACAAGCACATTCTAAATCGTGTCCATAAACTTGATTCTTTACTTGTGCCTAGTAGTCTAGTAGATCGAAGTACTTGTTGTACTGCGTTCAAACAACAACAAAGAAAAAAAGACCTGAAGTAGGTGAAGCTACTTCTTGGTAGAAGTGAATAATTTCTGTTGTTCAGATCATGATGATAAAGATGAAGATGTTGCGTATTACTTAGTTTTGTTGACCAAATGATGTGTGAGCTTGAAAAAAGAAAGACGATTCTATCGTTTTCAGCAGAATCTATCTACACAAGAAAGGATATGGACGTTGTCAAACACATTTTTACAACAACATAGACCACCTAGTGAACGTTCGCAATATGTAGTTGACTCTTAGAAGATATTAACGCTTTTTTTTTTCATAACCACATCATGATGGCAATGGACATGGAGGGTATCAATGAATAAGAACTTCAACATCTACTTAGTACAACTGAGAGTGCATATTGCCTTCTCTTTTTTGGAATTTTTGTATTGCTTTTGTTGAACGGTGGACGGACTAGAAGCAGGCTAGATGTAGTTCTAAGTACCCACCTTCTGTCTCTTCTAAATTATATTCGTAACAGGTAAAACTGCAATGTAAATAGGAGAGGAGGAGCTCCGAATTCTTGCCCGAGTGTGAAGAAGCTACTCCACTATAATACTTCCAATTCATGTTTAACGTAAAGAGTTTCTTCCTTCTGTTCAGATATGTCTTAGAGGTACTGTTCTTGAGCAACTTCATCACCTACTAGGCCCATGATTTTGGTACAGGTGCGGGCAACATGGTTCTACTCAGGGCATCACGATGATGTGAATCCATTCGGCAAACTGCCTAAGATTTCCCTGGCGACTTCTTACCTAGTATCTGATCTAGTATCAGTCTCCCTTCATAAAAGAAGTTGGAATATCAATATGAACAATATGTCTTAGAGGTACTGTTCTTGAGCAACTTCATCCGCTACTAGGCCCATGATTTTGGTACAGATGTTAGAAAAATCACTGAGGTTGGTAGATTCTCACTATCCAGCCTCAGTGATTTTTCCAACATGTCTCGAACTACATGTTTTACAACCCTAACATGCTCAACACGGTTTAGGCCGGGCCCTTTTCTATTTCTTTCAACGTCAGTCTTTAAGCCAAGCCCTTTTCCTTCATCAGTTTGAGCATGTTTGATCCCAACTCAGCTGGACTCGGAGTCACCACGGCGCCTGCATTAGACAAGTTCCTAGTTCATCCCTGTACCAGTGGAGATCCCTCAAGCGTACTCAAGCGTATGTATGCCTCGTTTGAGGGACCCTATTCCTACGTCCCTAGTTGTATATTAGAAAACAGAGACAGAGATGAACTACTAGGAGATGAAACCTTAACTGCTGCCTCAAGGGCTGCAATCTTGTCGCTAGCCTTGCCCTTGCCTCCACTAATGATCGCGCCAGCGTGTCCCATACGACGTCCAGGTGGAGCGGTTACGCCTGTAGTTAGCAATTTTTATACATGATACTTACTCATAGTTGGTGAGAAAAGTCAAGAAGAGACACTGTCGTGCAGAGGAGAAGAGTGGTGGACGAAGAGTCATCATCCGTTTTTTAACAAGTAAAAATATTTTTGTACTACCTGCAATTTAAAGCTAACAGTCGTAAATGGTCTCTGCTACCTGCAATTTAAAGCTAACAGTCGTAAATGGTCTCTGCAAGATGAAAGCTAGCTAAATGGTCTCTGCGAAGAGAACCCTTAGGATCAAATTCAGGCTACCAAATACCAGAACCATACATTAACTGCAAGAAAGCTAGCTAAATGGTCTCTGCAATTTAAAGCTGCTAACAGCCGTAAATGGTCGAGTCCTCGTAGTTTTAATAGTACCTGCAATAAAGCTAACAACGGGCTTTCCAGCTTTATTGTTGGCCTTCAGCCATTCTGCTGCATCTTCCTCTGCCGTGCCACCAATCTCACCAATCATGATAATGCCTTCCGTTTGCGGGTCCTGAGAAGAGTGTTGAGCAGCGGATAGGATAGATGTAAGTACCCCTAGAATGGGTTTACTACTACTACTACTAGACTCAATCCACCCTATCCGCCCCTCCTCAACACGACTGCTCTCAGGACCCGCAAACGGAAGGCAGAGGAAGATGCAGCGGAATGGCTGCATCTTCCTCTGCCGTGCCACCAATCTCACCAATCATGATAATGCCTTCCGTTGAAGGGTCCTGAGAGCAGTCGTGTTGAGGAGGGGCGGATATGGTGGATTGAGTCCTCTCCTTCTGTAGTATACTATAGTGATTGGCGGATAGAGATTGAGTCCTCTCGCAGCGGATAGGGATTCTTGAGTCCTCCCCTTCTGTAGTAGCCTAGTAGTAGTAGTAGTAAACCCATTCTAGGGGTACTTACATCTTAGTTCTTCAAGGGTGGGGTATGAATTTGTTTGGGTTGTGAATTTTTCAGGGGGGGGTAGGGATTCTTGAGTCTCCTTCTGTAGTAGCCTATAGTGATTGGCGGATAGAGATTGAGTCTCCTTCTAGTATACTAAAAGGCTTGAGTCGCCTTCTAGTTGTATACTATTTAATGAATTGAAAGAAAGTACCTCCATAAATGATCGCTCTACTAGACAATGAATGGTCGTTGAAGTCGTATCTGTATCTAAATACCTCCATTATAAGAACGATCGTACTGGGGGACAATGCTCGATGAAGTATGTTAAGTACCAGAATAATTTGTACCTAGAAGAACAACTGAAAGTACCCAGCAGTCCCAGTTCACGGTTATCTATCAAACAAATACCTCCATGAATCGTTCAAGGCAGTCGATGAAGTTGGTGCCATTGAAAGGGTCACCACCGATTCCGACGCACGTGCTCTGTCCGAGTCCGGTCAAGCTGGTCTGGTGAACTGCTTCATAAGTCAAAGTACCCGATCGCGACACCACACCAATCTTTCCAGCTTTTATTAGAAGAACAGTAGATCCAGAGGGAGAGAGGAGAAAAGGATGAACCAAAAGGATGTACCAAAATCAGTTTTTACTGATACTCGCTTCGCAAGAAGTAAGAAGGTAAATGGAGTACTTAGGTACAGTTATACTGTTACTGATAGATATATTAGATATTCAAGATCGAGATCGAGAGTCACTTCATGATATTTGTGGTGGAGCCGACCTAACTAGAAAAAAGACAGACCAGAGGAAGATATAAAAGAGAAAAGGGCAACTATCAACAAGTATCCTAAAGTATCCCGCTAACTGCTAAAACTAATATGAATATCACTTCATGATATTCATTTTCTTCAAGGATTATTAAGTAGATTTAGAATAGATTATACAACAGCATGCTCATAACTTATGAATGTATCCAGGCATGATCCCGATTTTGCATTCTCCCGGTTTGATAATCCCTGGACAGTTGGGTCCGATCAATCGCGTCTTGCTCTGCATATTCAACGCATGTTTCACTTTCACCATGTCCTGCTGCGGAATGCCTGAGAGGAGTGGTCGTGTAGAAGTTTGATGTAATCAATCAATTTAATTTCTAGAAGAATGGTGGTCTTCTTTGTACTTGTTTTTTTGCTTAGCTGCAGTTCCTAATCTTCATCAACACCTTCTTATGTATGAAAATGAACATCAACATACCTTCTGTAATGCAAACCACCAGGTCCAATTCCGCTTCGATGGCTTCTAAGATTGCGGCAGCCGCTGCTGGAGGCGGCACATATATCACGCTCGCGTTGGCTCCAGTCTCCTTTTTCGCCGTACCCAAATCGGCAAAGACTGGCAATCCTAAGTGAGTCGAACCTGCAACGATTAGAAGAAGAGTTTCTCGATGACGAGAGATAAAAACTCATTGTTAGATTAGATTCGAAACGATAATGGGTGTTGATTGATAGAGGGAGGGAGGGAGGAACAAGGTATTAAAAACATGAAAGGACAGATCAAAACTCATGGGTTGTACTTGATGATGAGAGATAAAGACTCATGGGTCTACTGGAAGAAGGTCCATGTTTTGGTAGTGGTTGTAGCTGTTGTTTTTGTTGCGCAGGGTCTTCACCAGGTCAGGAAGCCCCATGTTTTAGTACATGTTTTAGTAGTCCTTCTTCTTTCCTGCTCTGAATAGATAGAATTATAGGGAAAGATAAAGACTATCTCGATCTCATAACTTTTTCGGATTGATTCCACCAACGACGTTAGTCCCATACTCGATGGCTTGTGTGGTGTGAAACGTACCCTGCCCACCCGTCATTCCTTGCACCAGAAGCTTCGGATTCTTAGAGGATGGAGATGATTATAGACCTAAGATGTAAGAGTAGAGTAAGCTCTATCTAGGATAGGATTTGATTCACCGTCCACAGTTTGACCTGCCTCCTCGGGTGAATATGAGCTCTATCTCTACGTAAGAACAAGCACGATGTTGAATAGTAGTCTCTGGGATGCCGTAGTAAGTTTTATGTCTACGTAGAGAAGTCGCATGGGAGAAGGGGACCGTAGACGTGGGAAGGTATGAATGCTAGTAATACAAGAAAGTTGTCAGGTAAAGGATGAGGAGTGAAACAAGTGATGACTCGTTAAGAAGTGAGATGGAGTTCCATGATAGTTTGACCTCTACAGTAGACGTAGGAAGGATGAATGCTAGCATAGTAGCAACTGCTCGTTCTTCTTGTCCTCTAAAAACAGCAAGGAGCAGGTGAAGAACATCTACATCGACCATGCTTCATCTATGTAAGAGTGAGTTCACGAAGTTGTATGTATAAGAGTAGGTGCAAGAAGTTGGATCAAGTATATGAGAGGAAGTGCAAGAAGTTGTAAAGTATGTATATAAATATCTATAAGTGCATCTATGTAAGTGATATGCGCTGTAAGTCAAGTGTATCTTTAGCAAGGAGCTGTTGAAGAAAATATTAATTGATCTTCATGCTTCCATGTAAGTGTATCTCTACTACAAATGGCTCTCTAATATCTTTACGTCAGACCTTTCACTTTCGATGAAGCACCAGGGCCTTTACCATTTTATTGGAAATGCTTCCCTTAACTACGACTTTATCATTTTATTAGAAATGATTCGCTAATGCTAATAGTGTACGTCGTTGGAACAAAGAACATACGAATTCCAGAGACCACGAAAAGTGGGAGTTCTACCTTCTTCTTCTTCTTGATTGTTTTTTCATAATGTTCTTGTCCACAAAGACTTTTGCAGTGGCCGAAAAGTCTCTTCTGGAAGCCGTTGTTGACGCCGCTGCACCATTCAGCGCACCTCGGCGCAAAAAAGAGGAAGAACACAGCTTGGACAACATTTTGCTTCAACAACTTCAAAATTCAATGAATTGAGATTATTATGATGCAGGAGAAGACGAAGAAGAAGTAGATCTATCTAATATTTTGAAATGTTTGCGTTTCTTCTTGTCAACTATGCATGATATTTTGATATTCTTGGATGATGTTAGAAGTCGATATTTTCAACTAGACTTGTAGTTACTTGAAATATTGTTTGATCATGTTTGCAATTAAAAAGAGGAGCTAGACTTGCGACTTTGATATTGACCACAAGAGAATCTACAGCGCTAAGATGATGTGTATGTGCTCAACCACTCTGCGGATACTGATTCTTCGTTCCTGAAAAAAAAAGCAAAAAAAATCTTAAAGATGAAGGTATCTGACAGAGCAACATCCAAAGAGTGGTCTCGCTCTTGGTTTGTCCTCCAAAAACACTTACAAAGTCACTTTTTGTTCCTCCATTAGATACATAGACAATCCTAGGTAGAAAGTAGGTTGTTGCAGGAAAAAAAACCTCTCACTCTGCTCGTCGTAAAAGTGTAGTGGTTGTTGCAGGAAAAAAACTCCTCTCACTCTGCTCGTCGTAAAAGTGTAGTGCTCCTCTCTCAGGAAGTAGAAGAAACAGACAGAACTTTGCAAGACATAACATAATCGATCATTTCTCGTCCCCTCATTGTAGTGCTCAAAGAACAACAAGAAACTACTTCGATAACACTATAAGAAGATTCACCATCATGGTCTATTTTCATCTTGTCATTGAGCTCTCTTTCATCTACTTTTGGTTGCAAAGTCACTCAGAAGGGAAAAAACGGATGTCACATTCATATTCATAATTACTATGATATATCTTTATAAGGAAGTGCAGAAGGAAAAAAAAAGATCGTGTCAATGCCATAACTATGTATAGGATCACGTCATAACTATGTATCGCGTGAGAAATTCCAGCCCAAATGTAACCACCCATAATTGCATACCCCGACTTATCTACTAAATATGTTGAAATATAGAGATGCATTATTCATAATAATTCTTTTTCACAGCAAACACAACAACTAAAAGGAAAAAAACGCGAAGTAGATTGGTAGATGTGTATAACAAAAACTTCTATAATCAGATAAGACAAGTATATTGCTCATCTTTCCACTTCTCGAGGATTTGAATCTACTTATTCGGCGAGCTGCCTAAGATTTCTCTGACGAGTTCTTATCTATTTCTTTCTCTTCTTTACACTTCGTTGATTTTTAGTATGTCATTTTGATAGAGAGTATCACTAGATAAGTCAGGGCATGCTGGGGCTAACTATAAGCTACAAAGGGCTCTCCGAAACGCCGGCCATCTCCCTAGAGGACCTGTCCGACGCCTCCGCAGCCGTCGTACCAGAAGAGCTCTCCCTAACGGACCTGTCCGACGCCTCCGCAGCCACCGACGTCTCTGCAGCACTAGTTGAACTCGCAGTGTCGGCTGTGACTGAGGAGCTAGTTGAACCCGAAGCATCGTTATTTTCTGCCGAGTTAGTTGTGCCACCCGTAGCATCGGCAATGGCTGTGCCTGCAGAGCTAGTTGTTGTACCCGAAGTGTCGGCTGTGCCTGCGAAGGAGCTACTACCCGAAGTGTCGCCTGTGCCTGAGGAGCTAGTTTTGTCCGAAGCATCGCTTTTTTCTGCCGAGCGAGTTGTTGTAGTACTCGAAGCATCGACTGAGTCTGAGCCTGTGAAGCTACTACCCGAAGCTGCCAGTGCCTCTGCAGAGCCAGATGTACCAGATGCAGGGACTTTTTCTGCCGAGCCAGATGTACCAGATGCAGCGACTTTTTCTGCGGAACCAGATGTACCAGATGCAGCGACTTTTTCTGCCGAGCCAGATGTACCAGATGACGCGGCTGTGCCTGAGGAGCTAGTTGTACCCGGAGCGTCGCTTTTTTCTGCCGAGCGAGTTGTTGTAGTACTCGAAGCATCGACTGAGTCTGAGCCTGTGAAGCTACTACCCGAGGCTGCCAGTGCCTCTGCAGAGCCAGATGTACCAGATGCAGGGACTTTTTCTGCCGAGCTAGTCGTACCAGATGCAGCGACCGTGTCTAGGGTGGAGGAACTACTATCCACAGCGTCAGCCACTGGCAGAGGAAGTTTCGTCTGTGATGTACTAGTAGTCTTCTCCATTGCCAACGCGGGCGTTCCTGCTGTGTCAGAGCTATCGCGCGAGTCGGAGTCCTTGCTTGTGTCTAGCTCTAGTCCAGACACGCTCGATGAGGTTGCTCCTTTGGAGGCTACTGCAGTACTAGTGCCGCTTTTTGCTGCTTTTGGCGTGCCAGTGTTGACGCCACTAGCAGAAGTCACTACTTCAATCATACCTGATTCCGAAGTAGTAGACCATGTACTATCATTAGTGGTGGGAAGAAGTGCAAGGAGTCTCTTAACATCATTCTTTTTTCTTCACAACGTGGCCGTGAAGGTGTCACTGTTACGCATGGGTTCTCACCCTCGTCACGCTCACATAAGTAGGTCAACATAAGAAAAAAAAGCTTGTTCTTTTACTTTTCGGAAGAAACAAACTAAAAGTTCAAGCGGCACTTCACGCCTCCATTTTATTTTTATCGCGATACACATACATTATTTGGATAATATTACAGAAAACTTATTCAGACTTCAATTTTGCAGATGAATGTATTTTTGGATTTAGATGTCTTATGTGATGGAAGCAAATGGACACTACTAGAAATAAAATAAAAACCCGACATAAGCGTAGTCGCATCCCCTTCATGATGCTCCGATGCGGCAGAAGTGGTCTTGTCCTTAGGAGCAGCAACAATGCTATTGGCCGAGCCACTAGACACCGGCGTAGTTGCTCCACCCGATCCTGATGTTGATGCACCACTGGCAGTAGACACTGAAACAGCTTCACCACTAGTTGTTGGCTGTGCATCGCTATCAGGTGCTGTCACTGCACCGCCATCGACAAACTCTGTGCCCGTACCCGTCCTCAGCTGGACTGTGGATGCCCTCATTCCTGCAGCTCTTTTTCTTGCCGCTTCGATTAGAAGCAAGAAAAGAAATATACTAAGGCTTTTAGGGAGTCGATATCAGATGGACCTTGAATGATGTCTCCACTAATTCATGCAGTGACTTCTTCTGGGTCAGTTAGTCTCACGGGGCATCGGCCTATCCCTATGGCTATGCATGACGTATCTCCTGACTAATAGGAGTACGCACTACAACTTGAGGCAACACTGTGAACTTTCACAGTAAGTCAAAAACTCGGTGGATAATGAGTACCACTGTGTTGTAAAGATGAAGAAGATTCAATTTTCCAACAAGGTGATAAAAAGGAAGAGATGAGCGGAGCAGGGAGTGACGTTTAAACTCAGATGAAGTCAGGTAAGTAGCATCCTAAAATCAGTGATGGGATTATTAGATTCTAGATCCTCTGATGCTAGAAGCGGGGTCTACCGAAATCATATCAGGTCGTTTCCTAGAAGATGTGGAAGTAGATAAAATGCCGCCTAGCTGTTCTAAAGGTCAGCAGTCACTGATGCTGAACGGAAGCGACCACCTTCAAAGCCTCCCCCTTTTGCTTTTCCCCACATTTTCCCCCGCTCTCTCCGGGGGCCCTCTCTTTGATCTCAGTGGCCAACCTCAATGGCCAAGGAAAGCTGAGCCCTAGCTGTTTCTCTCAAATTGAGAGAACATCCTTGCGAAGCAGATCTTCCCAAAGTTAAGTATAATTATCAACTCTAACATATTATGGCACCATTTTGCACAGACGCTGTTTCGCGTTCCACAAACTCGATCTAAATCTATCGTCATCGAGGCCTGCCATCAGCCACATGCCAGGAGGCCTCTCGACGATGTGTTTTTACCTATGTATAAAGAATAAACCGTTTCCACACTCACTGCCACTTAGTGTGAAAAAAAAATCAACTTTACTTTTTTGTTTATCTTCACTGGGCAATTTCTGAACAAAGGGAAGCGGCCGGCCCCACATGTCGTCACGCGGATGCCGAAGGCGCCCTCGCTCCAAGACTTAAGAGCGCCAACAGCCCGACGAATGGAAGGGGCAAAATGCAAATCGAAACCCAGGGAGGACCGACGGCCCGCCCCAAGGAAGGAACTGCAAGCCACTCAGGCAAACCTAACAAGCCAGAAGAGTGCACACCTGAACGCAGTGGACTGCTTTGTAGCCCAAAGGCCTCACCGCTACACCGACAGCCCCCCAGCCCCAACTTCGCAGGAACGCCAGCACACTGCATACCCAGGACCAGCGACCACCCACAGGAGCAAGACCGAAGGGTGACACGGGTTTGGGAGAAGGCAATACCACGCCCAAAAGCGTCACGTCCGAGGCCCCCGCCCCGGCCCAAGGAGACCGGGGTGAGAGTCACCCCCGGCGATCCTTGGAGAAAACGGTCTGCCCGGTCGTATTTTTCGCTCCCCTGCCCTTTTGTCTCTACTAAACTAAGTAGGCGACGCCGCTCCTTGTCAGTTGTTACAAGGCCCTCTCATTCGGTCAAGCTTTGGCTGCTTCGTGGCTCCTCAGTCATCGTGTGCAGCCACGTCACCAAGGGAGGCCCCTGTGTAGCGTATTCCTTTTCACACGCGGAAGGCCCTAAATAAAGGCTAAGGCGCTCTCAACATCTTCCAAAAAAATCAACTACACAAAAAACCTGTAAAAAAAAAGCAGATCTTTGCACGCTCCAAAAAAACCCGCCAAAAAAAAACCGTTCAAAAAAACTCGCCAAAAAAAAACAGCCCAAGGCCCCAAGGGCTTAGCCCCCGATTCGATAGCCTCGACCCAAATGGCTCAGGCCCCGATGGTTTAGATGGTCCCAGTGGATCGTCTCGAACCGTTCCGATGGCTTGGAATTTCGCACCAGATAGCTTTCAAATTAACTGCCAAGCGATAAAGAAAAAAGCCCCCTTACTTTGGACTTCACGCGAAAAATGTACTAAGCCAAAAGCCGAAAGCCCTTGACTTTATAGCAGAACAGCCGGCAAGGCTTCACAGCTTGCATGGCATGGAGTGCATGGACCGCATGGAGCTGCATGGAGCTAAAGGGAGCGCTCCTTGCGTCCCTTATGGGTCTGCGCTCCATGCTACTCCAACATGTACTCCAGGTGCCATACATGTTATAAACTACTCTGTTATAAAAACTGGCGAAAATCACAAAAAGCGCGAAGCCTTTGAGGATGGTGCACCCGCAAGGGCAATGACATAGACAGACCCCAGGCAGGCTTCCTCAAGGAAGCGCTGAAGGCCTATCTGGGTAAACCACCAAAGCTGGGCAATCCTCAACAGGTTGGGATCCTCATCGAGTAGTTCGAGTTCGAATCTCTGCAGATAGATCAAAGCCGTACACCTTTTCACCCCTCCACACCAAGAAGCGCGCACCCTAACCCCCCTCCAGCAGGTCAACCCCCGCTAAGGAGGCACTGCTGAAGAGGAAGGAGCGGGCGCGCGTTTAAATTTTGCTGGGGAGGGGCGGGAAGGATGTGGAAGATTCTAATGAGAGGACGGGAGCCACACGTCGCTCTAGACTAGTATTAGCCGCGACTTATCTTGAAATCCGCCAGCCGTGAGCCTGATCCAGTTCAAGCTCTGAAGGCTTTGCGAACAACTATTTGAAAACAAAACCCCAAGAGAAAGGCTGCTGACACAGCTCACCCAGAGCAGCGCGGCCTCTCTGAAACAGCCCACACAGAACAGCCATCCTGAAACAATCCGCCCGGGGGTACCACGCTGGACCAGCATGCCCCGAACAAGATCCCTGAAACAGCCTGACGAGAGCAAGACATCCGAAACAACCCCGTCAAGGAAGCCCATCAGAAACAACGCCACC